TTTGCTCCTGGCAAATCCTGCATTAGCTACCCGCTCCTCAAACATCTAGGAGAAAAAGCACTAGAAAGAATCACTAAAATCTTTAACGCAATACTAGTAACAGAAGAAATCCCCCAAAAATGGCAAGAGAATATCATATACCCGATCCCAAAGAAAACAGACTGGCAACACAACCTCAACCTAGTAAGACCGATCACACTCCTTGAAACAATCAAAAAGATATTTACAAAACTGCTCAACAACAGATTAGCAGAGGTTATAACAAAACATCCAATTGTATTTGAAAAAAACTAGGCAGGACTTCCAGGAGAAGGCACACTCGAACCAATCAATATCATCAACAATGTTCTAGAAGAGGCAAAAGAAAACAAAAAAGAATGCTGGATTCTAAACCAAGACATAAGCAAGGCATATGACTTAATAAACTACAAAATACTAGAAAAAGCCATGAAGAAGATCCCGGCAAACATCATTAACATAATAATGAACCTGTTTGAAAACCGCAACAATTACATCACAACATGCCATGGACTTACAGTCCCATTCCAACCTGAACTAGGGATAGATCAAGATGACACAATATTCCCACTACTATGGAGAATATACTATGATCCACTTATAGAAAAAATCAAAAAATCCAAACACAGATACCGCTTTACAACACAAGAACCAATAAGCAAACATGGCAAGTAGCAAACCATAACAACAAAAGTGGCATCGATATCCTACATGGATGACACAGTATGGCTAGTGAAGAACAAGCAAGATATGCAAAAAATTACCAAAACCACAGAAAGCTTTGCAAAAATAGTCAACCTTACAATTAATCCAGGAAAAGTGGCACTCATCACAATCAATCCCAGAAAACTTAGACACATCAAAATGCAAGGTCACAAGATTACACCAAAATCAAAAACTGAAGCTATTAGAATCTTGAGCATATGGATCACAGCAACAGGAAGCAAAAAACACCAACTAGAACTAATCAAACAAAAAATCCAAGCAACAACAAATACACTGAGAAGATGCTCCATCACAGATAAACAACAAAAATATATAATCAACAACGTAACTATTCCAGCAGTAATATATCTCTACAAGACCTAATAGCAACAAAACACACACTCAACAAGTGAGACGCCATGATCAGAGCAGCCTTCAAACACAAGAACAACATGTCAAGTATGGCAATAAATAGTAGGATACACTGTCATTTCGGATACAAAATCTTTAGTACAAAGAGCAAACAGCTACAACAGCATATCAAAACAACACTCATTCACCTGAACAAGCACAACACATGTGGCGTTATAGCACGAGGGAGACTACAACATTTACAAAACACAACATGATCTCCAAAAGACATCTTAGCAAACAACATCCCAATCCAAAGAGATTACAACAATCTGTTAAGCCAAATAATCAATACAATAAGAGAAGACGGATATAACATCATGCTCAACACAACACAAGAAAAACTCAAAACATTCCCAGATGCACAGTTGTACACAATCAAAAGCTTAATGGATCTAACATGGTTTAGACAAAACAGACACAAATTAAAAAACCAAAATATAATGTTCATAGAACAAATGACGAATGCATACCAAACACACATGCTAGAATGGAGACAAATCAGAGTTATGGCAGGAAAAAAAGCAACAGGCTGGCAACCAAAATGATTCACAGACATCAGAAAACAACACTGCTACCCAGATTGGTCGACCAATAGATACAAGTGCAACATTACAGAACTTATACAACCCAACCCAATTCAACAGCTAGAAACAATAGAAAACACCAACATCAGAAACTCGAAATACCTAGTAACAACAATAAACCAACAAATATACATTGGCAAGAAAGACAACTGAAAGAAAAAGTGAGGTAGCACTATCCAAGTACAACACATGATATGGATAACAGAAGACTCAACACTACAAAAATGTACTGGGTGCAAACACAATGAACAAGGAACCAGCATATGCACCAGAATGATCAATAAGGAGGATACAGTAGTAGTCCCATTAATAAAAACAGGACAAAGCTCAAAGATACATGGCCAAATTATAGATACCCTAGAAAGAATTTAGGTATCCCCATCTACCATTCAAAACAACATTCAAAGAATCATAGAGGAAAAGCAAGAACCACAAAGAAACCAAATAAAAAAGGAAATGGAAACATACAAAGGAATGAAAATTAGCACATAATTAAAAAATGAGCTAAAAACAAAAGAGGACAGAATGAAAACATGAAAATCAATCGAAGCCTATATAGACAGATCTATAAAAGAAATAGATACATACAAATGCAAGATGAGAATTGGATGGCTAGCAACTAACAAAGAAACCAACGAAGAAATAAAGTTTTTAGCAAAAGTACAAGACTTTTCATCATTCACCAGGGCAGAACTTATAGCAATCCTCAGCCTACTCAAATGTGTACCAACCAAGATACACGTCAACATATACACAGATAGCAAGGCAGCTATACAAAATATGACAAGAGGAAAAAGTAGGAACAAAGCCATGACACATATATCCAACTGGATAACAATTATGTATATCAAAAGAGCCATCAAAGACAGAACAGGAACAACAAATTTAATCAAGGTAAAAGCACACACAGGAATTATAGGAAATGAAAAAGCAGACGAACTGATCAAAGAAGGAGTAAGAAAGGCGAAGAACAGGAAATAAGAATAAGCCAACCAACAGAGGACACACACTTCAGTATCATATGAAAAGATACAACTCTAGACACAAATATAAACAGCTTCATCAAAAGACAACAAAGTACATGATGACTGACAAGATAGTTAATCCAAAACTGACACATGGCATGGATAGATGGCAGGAAAAAAGAAATAGATTGGAAAGTGACACATGAGGCACAGCAACTGACACCAATCACAAGTAACAAAACAAACAAACAAGACTATTTAAAAAGAAACTTTTGCTACAGAATGCTCAACAAAGAACTTCCAACTCTGGACAAACTAGCAAAGCGAAGACCAGACATATACAAAACAGCAGCATGCCCGAGCTGTAAATGCAAAATAGAAACACATTAGCATATGATATATGATCACTGGAAAGAAAATATTACAAATGAATACAACAAAATCGTAAAACAAGAAACCAGCGCTAGGGTCAACAAAGAAAAACACAAAGAGAAACACTACCAGTTCAACAAAATCATAGACTCCAAATACACAAGAACACTAATCACAAAAGCAGTCTTTACAAAAGAAACTACCAAGTACATCAGAAACAGAGTAGGACAAAAGGTCACAGAAACATGTAGAACAATCACAAACCAAATGGACAAGAAACTAAAGGAATGGTAGAAATACAGATATGAGAAAACAGCAAAATGGGAAGCAGAAAACAACATCATAGCAAAAAAGAAGAGTGAAAAAAAAATGAGGAAAAAAGAAAATCCAACAGAAGGATAGAAGACTGGCATACGAAACTCGAAAAAAAAAGAAGCAGTAGCAGTGAGTTGGGCAGAAAAGATAACAAGATGGTATACAAAATACAAATAGAATGTAGAACAAAACAATTACTCATATATACTATTTACTAACACTAATGGAGCCTTGGCACATTAGTTTTTGATCACTTTTCTTATTGTACTGCAATAAGAATAAATCAAATAGCTCAAAGCCAATATTTGGTATTCTTGATATAGTCCGATATATAAATAGAAGTAAGGTTGTAACATTAATGTATACAAATCTGTAAATAACTAATGTAAATGTCACAAACTAATAAAGTATACTGGGCAAGGCCCAGCTAGTGTTTAAAAAAAATAAATAAATAAATAAAAATAAAAATTAAAATTAAAAGTATTTAATAAAAATCTATATCCAATATCATTTTACTATTAATAAAAAATAAAAAACAAATATAATAAAATTAAAAGTTATTTTAATTCTTTTAATATATTATTAAATATTATATTGATATTAAAAAACCTGTGGATCTATAATACAGTAATTAGTGCTTCACAGATCAGATTACAAGATATTAGTTCAATCCCTGATAAAGATAGTTAAATAGAATTAATATAGTGTTTGGTGCTATAATCAATTAAGTGCTATTTTTTATAAGAAGCTTATTCATATGCTGATTTAACAAGCATTAAAATTATGACCTAATTATAAAAGATATCATGATGCAATAATTATTTGATTGATATTATAGTAATTACTAAAAGATAAAAAAGATATTGAAGATATCTGGTTTCAAATAATAATAACTTGATAATTTATTTCCTGTAATATCTAATGTCTTTTTTATAAAAAGTTACTATAAAAATTTTATCTCTAATTATTTTGACAATTGTTTCTTCAAGGCTAGGCTGTTGCAGTAAGTCTGACAATATATGCAGTTAATCAATATAAGTATAAGTACTTGACTGTCTGGATGGCTTAAAAAGATAATATAATATAAAATTTAGAAGATTCTTTCAATTAGTATTCATTTACTAAAAATAGATACTAATTCAGTTTTCATATTTTAAACTTTTTCTTAAAATTCTTATAGTGCCAAATAAAACAAACTACTATTTATATAATAGCAATACTAATAGAGTTCTTAATATATTGGTCTTAGCTATATCTTTTGGAGTAATATTAATAGTAATAAATTAATATAAAATAAAACATAGCAAAATGCATCAACTTTTTCCCATTCATACACAGTTATCAAATTAAAAAATTCTGCAAAGTGATAATATGAGTTTGCAAAGGAATCTGAGAAGTTCCAACTCAGTCAACAGACCAAACTACAATATGGCAGACATGTTAAAAGGTAGAAACCCACAGAAATCAAGAGAAACAACTCCTTACCCAAGCCAGAAACCATTTAAAAAGTCAGCAACTAAAGCTTTCAAAATATTAGGAAACACAACACAGATAAACATCAGCAAAGGTAAACAAAAAAAAAAACTGGCAGAACAAGAAAACAATTTGATCCAACAATTTTTCATAGAATCATGGAGTCAAATAATTGAAGAGTTGATAGTGAATGAGTCAAAAGAATTTACAAGAACCTACAGAAGTGAAACAACAAGAGAACTTCCAACAAATGTAAACACCAGGCCAATACCAACCAATATATATATATACATTGATGATAGTAATGCAGAAATAGAAACATCTGGACAGAAAAACAATATGGAAAAAGAGTAAACATTGCAAGGAATAAAAAAGCAACAAAAAAAAGAATAATAAAGTCCAGATCAAGATTATTCTTTGATAGAGCAACAAGATATAATAGGCAATGATACAAAATTAAAATCAAGACATCAGAAATTCCAGGAAAATCTATCCAAGAGAAGATACATTTATTATAAAGATTCTAAACAGCCTCAAGGGACTTTTGACAGTCAGTAGTAAAGAAAAAGAAGATGATGAACAGATCTTTGCCATTTTCAGTGACCAATAGGCAGTAAAACAGGTCTGCTCAATTAATTTATCAAACCTGAAAGACAAGTACATGTAACTTATATTCCTTAAATCATAAGGCATTTTTTTTATAACATTTAAAAATTTTTAACTAAAAAGTTACTTTTCATTTATTTTTTTAAAGAATCAAAATATTTTTCTAAAAATTTATATAATATTAATTTTAATTATATATTATCTATTGATAGTATTTATTTTTTATTTACTTAATAAAAATTTAGAGTTTAATTATAAGAAA